CTAAAGTTCACTAGAGTTCACACTATGAAGCATCTTAGAAAATGTAATCAATAACAAGGAAAGTTCATGTTCCTCAAAAAAGATTCCCACGTTTTCGGATATTCTCCAGACTATCCCTCATCAACCAACTTACTCTGTATACAAGAGTAATTCTGGAGGTGGAAGGAACTGGTAGCAACTGTAAATAATAATAAAGAATGGAGTACCTACATGTTAAGAAAGGATACTGATAATAAATATACGGTCTCCCTTTAGTTTTCCAAAAGGTCAAACAGACACCTACAGAAGAAGTTCAAATTTCATTACTATTATGGAATATCTAGATCAAAAGTCCCACCTATCCATCTGACGATAATCAGCTTCATTTTCCTTTATTTCAACTAGAAAGCAATCCTCACTGTATTTTCACCCTGAAATTAAGAATATTTCATAATTTCAAAATGAATTGATTGAAACGTATAGTCCTTGTTCTGATGGGACACACTGTAAAAGTACATTATTCAAAAATGAGAACAGAGCACGCTCTCCTGCTCTGTAGAAAGTGGAAACAATTCAGTTTGACGTCAAATTTTCATAGCTCAATGCTATGAAATTTTGGGATTTGTAGAAGTTTTAGCCTTTTCATGCAAAATACTGCTGCTACTTTACCAAACTAAATTCCATTATACCATCACATTGAGTCATGGCAGTTAAAGTAGTAACAAAATGAATTAATTCTACAGTGCACACGCACTCTGAGCAAGCTTGTACATATTACTACACCCACTAACAAGTCCAAACTACCTCACAAAATCGTTGTAAATAATATGTGGAAATATATCATGTTTGCTGCTTTAAAATTTTTGAGGGACAGGAAATATATATATACAGTATATATGGAAAATATACTTTATGCATAAGATAAACTACAGGTCCTTATTTTTGGATTATGTATCGCAGTCAAAGAATACAATGCTTTTATATACTCTTCCCCATTAAACCTCTCTCAATATAGGTAAATATATAGAGGCCTTACACTGAACAAAAAAATCGTATCTTCTTGCATTTATACAATTAAAAGTGAACTACTATAATAAGTTGAGTTAGTTAGCAATGTACAGTTTGTAGTTATAGCAGAACTTAAAATTAAATTTTTTAGTTTCCACAGATATAAACAATAGCCAAGATGTCAATGGTAAGCTTGCTGCTTCCTCCTATAGCGCTCAAGCACACTTTCTCTGGAGGGCTGCCCCCCCCCCCCCCAGGAGATATGGAGCATCATAACAGATAGTCCTTTTCTCTTCAAATAAAGCTATCAAAATATTCTGTTAAATCTTGATCACAAGACGTATGACCTTTCTCCACACAGAAACAGTGTAAGTTATGCCACTTGCTCTATATACACATTCACTACCAACTTTATGAACAAGGAAGAGGTATATATACACTTCCTGTTTCCATGCAACTCTCTTCCTATAGCTTAATCAAGGGACCAAAGAGAGCTTGTTCTAGTTATGAAAAGTACAACCAAAACTCCACTATTCTCCTAACAACTTTCTTCATGTGTACTGAGGTATAAGAAAGATTGCTATATCATACCATATGGTGGAATTCCTTCCACAAATAGCTAATGTCCTGCTTGCACAATAAAGGACTAAATTCACATTTTAATCATTTCATAAGAACTACCTCTTAAAAACTTAGCCTACTGAATTATATAGAAAGTCACCTCAACATTATCCAACTTTTCATCTGTAAATTTACTGCTGTAATTATGTTGTGAAAACACAGATTGTTACCAAAAATAAAATGTAGTGCGTGTAAAAAATGTACAAAAAGTCAGCCAAAAATGTGAACTTATTCAGTACTACAAAAAAAAGGAGGAGGGGGGGTTGGGTTCTTTCTGATCAAATGTAAGTCATGAGTTAACGTAACTATATAACCTGGGTTAAAATGCTAATCTGCAATATAAGAGAAATGTGAAATGTCTAATAAAATTTTCAGATTGCAGAACATTTTTGTTAATACAATTCTGCAGGAAGTATCTCAATACAATTGGATTATGCATAACACTATCCAGTTTTGAAAGAATTCTGCAATTATCAATCCAAGGCAGATTTCCTTCCTCTGCACATTTATCTGCCTGCTAATTACCAGCCCTTGTGTAAATTTCAAGTTTTTCTTTCATGTTGAAGCATTTTTAAAAGCAAGCCAATCTACATTTTCCCCTCCCTTACGCTTTAACATGGCATTTCTGGCTAGAATGATAATGTGGTATTTTTTCTTGCTCCTAATGAATCCATACATATTTGCATGGGCATCTTGGATCAACATAATATTAATAGTTGGATGAGACCACACAGGTCATCACATCCAGCCTCTTTTTAAAAGCCTCCAAAAAAGGGGACTCCACAGCTAGTTATTATACCCTACGTCATTGGTTCTCCACCTGTGGGTCTCCAGATGTTTTGGCCTTCAACTCCCAGAAATCCTAACAGCTGGTAAACTGGCTGGGATTTCTGGGACTTGTAGGCCAAAACACCTGGGGATCCACAGGTTGAGAACCACGGCCCTACGTGATAGTGTGCATTATCTGGGCGGAGGCCACCAGGGGGAGATAGATGGATAGTTCATTTTATCGGGGTGGAGGGCGAGTTGAAGGAGGAAAACCATTCCACCTTTTTTTCCTATTATTTCCCCCACCCATGTCCCCTTTGTGACAACAACACTTGTTTATGAAGTGGGAATGGGGGGGGGGAGCAGGAATAACTAGCAAAAATGGGGTAAACTGTTTTCCTCCTTCAACCCACCCTCCACCCTGTAAATAGGATTATCCTTCTCACTCTACCACCCCCTGGTGACCTCCACCCAGACAATGGAACAGTATTTGCAATAAGAATCAGTATTTTGTAATCTTTTGGGGTCAAGGACTCAACTGAGAACCTAATGAAAATGCAGAGATCAGAAAGTGAGCCCAAAATAAATTATCAAAATAAGAAAAGCATGTTTGCATCTGTGTCACGGAATCCCTGAAGCCCACACATGTGCCCATGATACACATTGCATTAGAGACTTATGCAGATCCCCCAAAAAAAGAAAACGTGTGTAAGATGGCAGTAATGTAGCAGTTCATATCTCAATCAACCAGAATAAAAAGGTTGAAAGTGCTGAAGGCAGGTTACACGATTAGAGATTGGGGGGGGGGGGGGGGGGGGGGGGGGTTAAAGAGAGAACTCTCTAATTAGAGCAGGAGTCCTCACACTAAGAACCGAGGGCCGGATACAGCCCTCCAAGGTCATTTACCTGGCACTTGCTCAGGGTCAAACGAAGTCTGAAATGGCTTTAAAGAACACAACAACAACAATCCTATCTCATCAGCCAAAAGCAGGTTCGCACTTCCCATTGAAATACTAATAAGCTTATATTTGTTAAAATAGTTCTTCTTTTTAATTATTGTATTGTTTTAAAGTGTTTCTTACACTACAAATAAGAAATGTGCAGTGTGCATAGGAATTCATTCGTTTTGTTTTTTTCAAATTATAATCCGGGCCTCCAACAGTTTGAGGGACTGTGACCTGGCCCTCGGTTTAAAAAGTTTGTGGACCCCTGAATTAGAGGATAGTGGTAATGTGCGAGATCTGACTGTGGTCATCTCAGTCAACCAAAATAAAAGGGAAGTTTTCATTCTATATAAATTTCCTGACATTAAGTCTAGTCATGTCCAACTCTGAGGGGTGGTGCTCATCTCCACAGACACCTCCAAGGTCATATGGCCAGCATGAGAGCATGGTGCTCCGTTACCTTACGACTGAAGCGGTACCTACTGGTCTACTCATGCTGGCATGTTTTCGAACTGCTAGTTTGGCAGAAGCTGGGGTTAACAGCAGAAGCTCACCCCTCTCCTCGGATTTGAACCACCAACTTTTCGGTCAGCAGCTCAGTGGTTTAACCTGATGTGCCACCAGGGGGTGCTTTCATTGTATATTGTAGGAAAATACAATGGCTGAGGAAATGGATGGTTTCCTAAGAGTTATGATTTGATACATTTTACATTAAATTTCACCCACAGCATGTTAGAAAAGCAGATTTATCCCAGTAATCCCATGGAGCCCCTGGTGGCGCAGTGGGTTAAACCCCTGAGCCGGCAGGACTGAAGAAGGACAGGTTGCAGGTTCGAATCCGGGGAGAGGATTCTACCAGCTCTCTACCAGCTCCAGATCCTCATGTGGGGACATGAGAGAAGCCTCCCACAAGGTTGATAAAAACATCAAATCATCCAGGCGTCCCCTGGGCAACGTCCTTGCAGACGGCCAATTTTCTCACACCAGGAATCACTCCTGACATGACAAAAAAAAATCCCAGTAATTACCCCCACCCCTTTACTTTAAAAACATAATAATTAATTTGAAATAAATACAAATTGCATAAGTTTATAATTCTATAAAATCCTTTGCCAGTTTGGTGATCTGGGAGAATTGTTGGTATGCACAGCAACCTCACCAAAAATCCGTAAATATTGAACCACTTTGAGTTTCTTATAAGAGATGAAAGCAGGATACAAATAAATATAATAGGAGTGCTTGTAACAGCCAGATTCATCCCCTTCTATTAATCCCACTTGATTTAGAGGCTCAGCTTGCTGGGCTTCCATGCGTCCAAAGGCTGGCGAGGTCCGTCTTCGACTCGACGGCTCCTCGTGGCCAAAAATGGCGCCTTTCCCCGCGCAACCAAGACCGGAAACGCACTGCGCATGCCCGAGGAGCGCGAAGGCGGCGGGGGAGGGGGGAGCGAGGGGGAACGAGCCGCCCGGAAGGAACTGCCCTCCGCGGGGAGGTTGCCTTCCTCGCAGGACCCACGGAGCGAAGGCTTCCCAGAGCGAGGGAAAGGCCTGCTCCTGTGGGGAAGGGCCTCAGCAATCTCAGCGTACTCGTCATGTTTCAAAAGGCGACCTAAAACCCGACCTGGACCCGAAACTTCCTCCCTCCTGCCCCTTTCTCCCCCTCCGAGGCTCTGAGCACTACCTGGGTTCCTGGGTTCCTGAGTTCCTCCCCGCCGCCAGAGCGCTGCCCGCGAGCTCTCCCGTCCGCCTCCGCTTCCGCCTCTGCTGCTGCTGCTGCCTCTGCCGCCGGTTCAAAAAAAAAAAAAAAAAAAGAGGACACCAGGCGCGCACAGCCAACAGCACGCGCTGGGCCGTTATGCAAATGAGGGCCGATCTCTCCTCCCACTCGCTTTGGCCACGCCTCCTTCGGAAAAGCGAGCGGGGGGGGGGGGAAGCGGCCGGCAGAGGGGGGTTAGATGCGCGAGCTGCTTTTCCCCCGCTGGCCAATCCGCAGATCAGCCATGCGACGGTTATGCAAATGAAACGCAATTATTTAGCATACTGGTCGCCTTGGCTCCTCCCCCTCCTCCTCGCGGATTAGGGAGATCACTGGGCGCCTGAGGAGAGCGTTGGAGGTCGTCGTGGCGCCTCGTCCTTTCTGCCTTGGAGGGAAGGGCAGGGCTGCTCCTGCTTATAAAGCGGGGGGAGAGAGGCCTCTTCGGGTGTCTCCTCCCCCTGGCTTTGAGGAGGCGCTGCTTCAAAGAGGAGCAGTGGTGCTGGTGTTGTTGTTATGGGGCTGAGGGAAATTCTGGCTTGGAGATAGATCCTCTGGTGGATTGAGTCCCTAGTCCTCAGCAGCACTTGGCAGTTTCAGTTTTCAGAGATCAAATAATAATAAGAATAACTTGAAGAGAAACAACTGGAAAAGCTGACACAATATGATGTATAGATCCTCTGGTGGATTGAGTCGCTAGTCCTCAGCAGTACTTGGCAGTTTCAATTTTCAGAGATCTAATAATAATAATAATAATTTGAAGAGAAACAACTGGAAAAGCTGACACAATATGATGTTTTAAAGTTTTAATTTGTACTATGATATTATGGATACTGTTTTGTTGGAAACCGCCTTGAGTCGCCGATAGGCTGAGAAAGGCGGTATACAAATACAGTAATTAATAAATAAATATGAGGTTTTAAAGATCAAACTGCAAAAACTCTGGCACAAACCAGTAAAGGTGGTCCCAGCAGTGACCAGCACACTGGGTGCAGTGCCTAAAGACCTTGGCCTGCACTTAAACACAATTGGCGCCGACATAATTACCATCTGCCAGCTGCAGAAGGCCACCTTACTGGGATCTGCACGCATTATGGGAAGTGTCTGACGTGTGATCCCATGCAACAGTCAGCAGAGTGATCTTGTCTGCTGTGGATTCATCCTGTGTTTCTAATAATAATAACTTTATTTATACCCCGCAAAATCTCCCGAAGGACTCAATGCGGCTTACAAAGGCCAAGGCCGCCGACAAACAACACACAATACACAATAAACTCATAAGCAAATAATAAAACTTCAAGAAAAACAGTAAAACAATGACACCGTGACGCAATTAAAATCAAAAGCTGGGCCAATAATAATAATAATAATAATAGTAAATTGATGTCGCCATACCAGGTGACAGTCGCATTGAGGAAAAACAACAGGAAAAACTCAGCCGTTATCAAGACCTCAAAATCGAACTGCAAAGGCTCTGGCATAAACCAGTACAGATGATCCCAGTGGTCATCGGCACACTAGGTGCCGTGTCAGAAGATCTCTGCCGGCATTTGGAAACAATAAACTCTTCTCAGCAGAAGCTCTCCCTCTTTGGTTTAAGGAGTATATATACACCAATTGTCTTTGTAGTAGAAAAAGTACTTTATGCATTTATTTATATAATATTTATAATATTATACTGTAATGCAATATAATAATAATATGGTATTATAATTATATATTTATATTACATGTAATATTACTAATAATATTACAATATAATGGTATAGTACAATATAGTAATATTTAATACTGATACTGTACTATGATAATATAATACATTGTATGTATATATATCTTGTAAGCCGCTCTGAGTCCCCTTCGGAGTGAGAAGGGCGGCATATAAATGCCGTAAATAAATTAATAATAAATAAATAATAAACAGTGACAAAATCACTATCTGTCAGCTGCAAAAGGCCACCTTACTGGGATCTGCACGCATTATTCGCTGATACATCACACAGTCCTAGACACTTGGGAAGTGTCTGACGTGATCCAATACAACAGCCAGCAGAGTGATCTTATCTGTTGTGGACTCATCTTGTTGGGTTAATATAATAATAATAATAATAATAATAATAATAATAATAATTTGATGTTGCCATACCAGGTGACAGTCGCATTGAGGAAAAACAACAGGAAAAACTCAGCTGTTATCAAGACCTCAAAATCGAACTGCAAAGGCTCTGGCATAAACCAGTACAGATGGTCCCAGTGGTTATCGGCACACTGGTTGCTGTGTCAAAAGATCTCAGCTGGCATTTGGAAACAATAAACATTGACAAAAATCACTATCTGTCAACTGCAAAAGGCCACCTTACTTGGATCTGCACACATCATTCAAAAATACATCACACAGTCTGAGACACTTGGGAAATGTTCAACTTTTGCGATACAAAATCCAGCATATATATCTTGTTTGCTGTGACACATTATTTTGTGTCAGTAAAATAATTATAACAACAACAACTCTGGCACAAGCCAGTCAAGGTAGTCCGAGTGGTGATTGGCTCACTGGGTGCAGTGCCTAAAGACTTTGGCCTGCACTTAAACACAATCTGCGCTGACAAAATTAGCATCTGTCAGCTGCAAAAGGCTACCCTATTCAGATCTACACTCATTATTCGTCTACATCACACAGTCCCTAAACACTTGGGAAGTGTCCGTGTGATAATCTTGTACGCTGGTTTCTCTTCAGATCGTATAATTTTGTGTTCCAAATAATAATAATAATAATAAGTAAAAGTAAAGGACATTGATATCCTGTAGTGATGTGGGATTCTCAAATTACTTTAGGTATGAATATAAATATGTGAGGGGAAGTCATAGGGAGGAGGGAGCAGGCTTTTTTTTCTACTGCCCTGGAGACTAGGACACAGAACAATGGCTTCAAACTACAGGGAAAGAGACTCCACCTGAACATGAGGAAGAACTTCCTAACTGAGAGCTGTTCAGCAGTGGAACTCTCTGCCCTGAAATGTTGCCATCATGTCATCATGGAGGAGCCACAGGATGTTCACAAATTTGTTAGGGCACCCGATTTTTTGGAGGATGAACCAGAGAGCGCTGCGATTCACTGTGTCGAATGCCTTTGCAAGGTCAATGAATGCCATGTACAGAGGTTGATTTTGTTCCCTGCATTTTTCTTGGAGCTGTCATGCAGTGAAGATCATGTCCACGGTTCCTCTGGAGGGGCAGAAGCCGTTCTGGGATTCTGGGAGGGTGTCTTCTGAGAGGGGTAGAAGGCGGTTTGCAAGGATTCTTGCGAGGATTTTCCCAGCGGAAGTTGGGAGGGAGATACCTCGATAGTATCTGCTCTACCACCTTCAAAGCCTTCTGAACCGCAGCTCTAATGTGGCCGAAGAGGTTCTCTCACAAATCCCGCAAAAACAAACCAGGGATGACCTTGCAGTACTGCCTAGTTTGGAAGAAGTCAGCAATGCCATCAGCCAGCAAAAAAAATAACAAAGCCAGAGGACCTGATGGGATTCCTGCTGAAATCTTTAAAGAGGGAGGACCTGAGCTGTCCATCGGCTCATAGAAAAAGTGTGGGTGACCGAGAAAATCCCAGCAGATTTCATGGATGCCACCATCATCACCCTCTTCAAAAAAGGGGAAAGAACAGACATATGTCTAGGCATGGGGGTTTTAAAGACTGATATGGGGGGATCAATCCAACGGATAAAGTGCTTCAGAGGACATATAGAAGGAAATTGGTCATATCTGGCCTTATTTCCTTCATTCAGGGAAGGCATACTGGAACAGCCACGTTTTCAAGCTCCTCCTAAAGACTGCCAAAATGGGGGCTTGTCTGATATCTTTAGGTAGATAGTTCCAGAGTTGGGGGGCCACCATAGAGAAGGCCCTCTCCCTTATCCCCACCAATCGCGCCTGCGAAGGGGGCGGGAGCGAGAGCAGGGCTTCACCAGATGAACGAAGAGATTGCGTGGGTTTGTAAACAGAAATGCGGTCACGCAGGTAGGCGGGTCCAAACCGTTCAGGGCTTTGTAGGTAAGAACCTGCACCTTGAATTGGGACCAGAAGATGAATGGCAGCCAATTGAGCTTCTTAAACAAGGGGGTTGACCGCTCCCTATAAGTCGCTCCAGTTAGTAGCCTAGCTGCTGCCCGTTGAACCAACTTAAATTTCCAAGCTGTCTTCAAGGGCAGCCCCACGTAGAGTGCATTGCAGTAATCCAATAGGGCTGTTGTGGCCCTCAGTGGAAATGAGTTTGACCCCCTTGCTGGAGGATTAACTCCTATACAAAAATGCAATGCTTCATCTACTTTACCTGGAAGTTACATTTGATTCAACTGAAGTTTTTTCTTAGTAGAAAATAATTAAAGTACATTGGTAAAGCTGCCGTGGCATCTCCACTTTCTCAGCTGGAGTTACTTTTGAGTAGAGATGTCATGGCTGCACAAGTATGAGAGTTATTTTTCTTGTTAACAATCAGACTTATCTATTATCACAAACCCAGGGGAGAACAGCATAAAAAGCTGTTAATTTACCTAAAATACTATATATTACTGAGGATAATAGAATCATAGAGTTGGAAGAGACCTCGTAGGCCATCCAGTCCAACCCCCTACCAAGAAACAGGAAATTGCATTCAAAGCATCCCTGACAGTGGTGTTAACCTATAAAGCTCTAAACGACTCCGGCCCTGTTTACCTCTCCGAACGTATTCTCCCCTACGAACCATCAAGACCACTAAGATCATCTGGAGGGGCCCTGCTCTCGGTCCTTCCGCCTGCACAAGCACGGCTGGTGGGGACGAGGGACAGGGCCTTCTCGATGGTGGCCCCTCGACTTTGGAACTCCCTGCCATTAGAGATTAGAACTGCCCCCTCCCTCATGACGTTCAGGAAACTAACAAAGACCTGGTTGTGGAACGCGGCATTTGACAACTGATTTAATTCTTTGCCCACATGAAAGGAGGATGATGAATGGGATTGTGATGGTGTTGGACGATTTGGCTCTTTTAACTGGGATGATAATGTTTTAATGTGTATGGTGCTGATATTTTAACCGTGTAATGAAGTGGCATTGTGTTGTTATTGTATATTTTTTGTATGTTAACACATGTTGTGAACCGGTCCGAATCCCTCTTTGAAGGTGAGAGGGTCGGTATATAAAACCTCGAAATAAATAAATAAATAAATAAACAGTCCTGGACAGCAGTGGCTCCCAAAGTGACCTATTTAAGGTGGAATCAGGAGTCAAACAGGGATGTGTTATTGTTCCAACTTTATTCTCCATCTTCATCTCTATGATACTTCACCTTGTTGATGGGAAGCTTCCCACCAGAGTGGAAATAATCTATCGGACAGATGGCAAGCTGTTTAACCTCAGC